AAAAAAAAAAAAAAAAAAAAAAAAAAAAAAAAAAAAGCCTTCCCTAACTACACCCTATATACAATAACCACCTCCTTCTATTCCCATCCTCTCACCCCACTTTATTTTCTCCAGAGCATGATTTGAAATTGTCACTTGCTTATTTGTCTAATCTGTTAATTCTGTTTAATATCACCTTCCCATAGAAAGTAAACTCTGCTTTGGCTACCATGTCCCCAGCAGCTCAGTGTGGTGAGCACTCAGTGTTCCTGGCTTCTCAATGAATATGTGTGCAGCAATGAAGTGCAATGAGAAAGGTGAAGGCAAAAATAGACATTTATCCTAGCACTCTACAGGAACAGGGGGCCTCACTGCCTCAGCAAAAACCCAAATCAGCCATTGAAGAATTTAGGTTTGTAAGAATTTATTCATTTAGTCAGCAAATACTGACTGAACACCTACAATTGTTTAATACACATCTAAGTGGCTGAGCGCTGTGGCTCCCGCCTGTAATCCCAGCACTTGGGGAGGTCCAGTCGGGCGGATTACCTGAAGCCAGGAGTTCGAGACAGCCTGGGCAGCATGAAACCCTGTCTCTACTAAAACTACTAAAAAATTTGCCAAGTGTGGGGGCATGGACCTGTAGTCTCAGCTATTTGGGAGGCTGAGGCACAAGAATCATTTGAACCCGGGAAGCGGAGGTTGCAGTGAGCGGAGATCGTGCCGCTGCATTCCAGCCTGGGCGACATGGAGATTGTCTTAAAATATATATATATACATATATATTTTAAATAATGATATTGTGTGTTCAGATTTTCAAAGTGCCTTCATACACAATATATATATATAGCGTGTCATGTGTATATGTTCATACACATAACACAAAACAAGCAGTCCAGACCTGCTGATTTTATAGATTGGCCTTTAATATGCTAGAGTATTATGTCTGTGTAGGAAAATCAGGTCTGGGAAGGCAGGTGGGGCCCATATTGTGAGAAGCCTTAAGCAGTAGGTAGTGAGGAACTACCCATTTTGTGGTGAAAACCGTCCCTTATTTATCTGTGACCACAGGACTTCCCTTCCAAAGGGATGCCGGGCCATGTTAGTCTCATCTTGCGTCTGTGGCTGTTCTGAGGACGCTGCCGAGTTCTGACTAGCAAGGAAAGCGCCATGCACGCTGCCTGAGAAGATTATGCCCTTACCTTAGAGCACTCGATGGTATCCACCCAGTAGAAGGTGATTTTTCGGGCAAGCATGACTTCCTGGACTCTCCTAGGCAGCAGCTTCTCCATCACCTGCTTAGGGGCGGGCGGCGGGCTCTGGGCCTGGGCCTCGGACCCCGACACGAACTGCAGCAGCTCCCTCTGCGAGTGCGGACAGGGAGCCAGGAGGAAGACGGCGTTCGCCAAGCCCCCGAGCGTGGCCTCGGCCTCCCTGGCCTCGCTATCCGCGTCCAGCAGCCTTCTCCCGCTACTCCGCAGGATCGGCTTGGCGGGGGACGTGATCTCGGGCCGGTCCCACTGGTAGTCCAGCAGCGTCTCCATCAGGGCGCCGTGCGTGTGGGTGGCCCTGGGCGCCGGGCCAGGCAGGTGGGCGCGATCCTCGAGTCGGGCCTCCAGCTCCTCCTCGAAGTCCTCCCACGAGCGGGCGCCCAGCTCGCGGAAGTCGGACACGCGGGACGGCCGGCTCCGCGCGCCCTGCGAGTCAAAGAACTTGAAGGCCCAGTGGACCCTGGCCAGGCCGAACCTGCAGCTCAGGTAGGTGAGGAGGCGCAGGGCGGCCCGCCGGACCCGGCTGTGACAAGCGGCGCCTCCCGCGGTGTCCAGCAGCAGCATGACTTTGTGACAGGACGCCATGTCCGCCGTGCCGCCGCCCCGGGGCCCCGGTTCCTCAGTCCCTTGCTTCAGAGAACCGGCGCCATTCACTGCTTTCCTTCGGGACGCTGGTCAAATGGCTCCCGCGCTCTCCAGGAGCTGCTGCTATTGGCGGAAACTAGTTTCCAAAGTTAGCTCCTATTGGCTGCCTGCCTTACGTAAGTTATGCGACCAACTTCCATTTTTGGTGGTGATTGGCGGGGCGGTGGCGAACACTTGAGTCTGATTGGTAAAGTCAGTGACGGTGGGCGTGTTTCTGCGCTCCGAGCGAAGCTTGACATTCATTGGCCTGGGCCTTCGTTTTAAATTTTAAAGAGGTGGCGCCTCGGGGGCGTGGCAAGAAGGTTCCCGATTGGAAGGAGGCCCGCGTTTGCGGTCAGTAGTGATTGGGGACTGCGGGGCCACGTTTCCCAAGACTGGGGAAAACAGTGCGGGGAGGGAATTGAGTAGGGTTTAATCAAGCTGGTTGAAGTCCCTGTGGACCGTCTATGAAGTAAAATCCGACGGCTACGGCTTTAATTTTCTGTAATTAAAAAAAAAAAATTCTTAAAAATAAAAGGTTCACTGTTTTTGTCCCAGTAACTTCTAGGAATTTATCCCAATGTTGCTGGAATTACAGGGGTGAGCCACCGCCCCGGCCCGAAAAGAATTGTAAAGGGAAAGTGAAGCATATGATAAGGGACTACAATTAGAGAGCTAGATAAAAGACATCTGTACATCTTAGAGTTTACTTAACTTGAGAAAAATTGGAAACGGTCTGGGAATGGTTAAATAAGGTATGGTACCACTGGTAGTCCAGCAGCGTCTCCATCAGGGCGCCGTGTGTGTGGGTGCATCGTGCAGCTTCTTAAAATAGTGTTTTATTATGTAATGTTAAGTTTAAAAAGTGGACGACAAACAGCACCTGCAGCGAATTCCCCACATATTCTATCTATATATAGTTAGAAATTACATGTAGATTTGCATTATAGCTAGAAATTATAGATTACATAGAATTATATATAAACATATTAGAGATAGAAGTTATATATAAATAAAAATGCATTTATATGCATAGTTTTAAACTTAATAAATATTGTGTACCAGAAGTTGTCTGTGATTGTCTCTCCCTGTGATTTTTTTTTGAAACTTTTTTACACTTCCTCTCACTGGCCAACAGTGATCAGGCTGATTTCAGAGATGTGAGATGTGCCTCTAGGATCAATGGAATATGGTATTTGGAAAGAAGAAGGGGACCAAGAATGAAGTTGGGTTACCTGAAATGTGTGTTTAGGGAGATTGATTCAATCCTCCACACCATTGAATTCTGCTTTCCACCTGGAAACAGAACAACTTCCTTTATATGCCTTGGCTTCACCAATCAAAGTCCTCAACAATTACTGCCTCATGCACGACCATTTTCTCTCTCTTTTTTTTTTTTTTTTTTTTTTTTTTTTTTTTTTTTTTTTTTTTTTTTTTTTTTTTTTTTTTTTTTTTTTTTTTTTTTTTTTTTTTTTTGAGACGATGTCTTGCTCTGTCACCCAGGTGGACTGCAGTGGTGCGATCTCAGCTCACTACAACCTCCATCTCCCAGGTTCAAGCAGTTCTCCTGCCTCAGCCTCCCAAGTAGCTGGGATTACAGGCACGCACCACCATACCTGGCTAATTGTTTTGCATTTTTAGTAGAGACGGGATTTCACCATGTTGGCCAGGCTGGTTTCGAACTCCTGACCTCTAGTGATCTGCCCGCCTCTGCCCCCCAAAGTACTGGGATTACAGAAGTGAGCCACCGTGCCCAGCTCCATTACCTCTTTTGTATGAGTTTTCCAGGACTGCCTGCCATAACAAAGGATTGAACCCCAAAATTGCCTCACAGTTCTGAAGCCTGGATGTCCAATATCAAAGTGTTGGCATGCACTGGTTCCCTCCAGCCCCCATGGCTCAAAGGGAGAATACTTCCTTGACTCTTCTAGCTTCTAATGTTTGCTTGGAATTCTTGGTGTTCTTCCCGTGTCTCTTCCTGCCGTCTTCCCTCTGCACATGTCTGCCTCTGATCCAAACTTCCCTTTATAAGGACACCAGTCATGTTGGATTAGGGCCCACCCTAATGACTTCATTTTAACCTCTTTACTTCTGCAAGACCCTATGTTCAAATCAGATCACATTCTGCAGGATTCTGGGGGATAGGACCTCAGCATATCTTTTCGGGAGGACCCAGTTTAGCTCGTAACACCTTTCATCCTTTTGCCAGTCATTTCGCTCATCCTTACTACATATCAGGCACCATTCCCGCCCTGATGGAATTTACAGTCTAATAGGGAGGGGATCAGACGTTAGATAGATAATACAGATGGACATAATACCATAATCTTCTAAAAGACTTTTCTTTTCGAAAAGAGTTTTTTTTTTTTTTAGATGGAATTTTGCTCTTGTTGCCCAGGCTGGAGTGCAATGGCATGATCTTGGCTCACTGCAGCCTCCGTCTCCCAGGTTCAAACAATTCTCCTGCCTCAGGCTCCCGAGTAGCTAGGATTACGGTGCCCACTACCACGCTTGGCTAATTTTTTGTACTTTTGGTACAGACGGCATTTCCCCATGTTGGCTGGGCTGGTCTCAACTCCTGACCTCAGGTGATCCACCCACCTTGGCCTCCCAAGGTGCTGGAAGTACGGGGGTGAGCCACCGCCCAGCCCAAAAAGAATTTTAAAGGGAAAGTGAAGCATTTGATAAGGGACTACAATGGGTGAGCTGGTTAAGAGTGGTTCCCACTGTTCACAGTACCTCCAACCACTGTAACCGCATCCTGCTCGGCAAGTCTACCTGCTACTGTGAATACCTACTGTGAATAGTCCCCCCTGCTGCCCCCCTTGATGATTGTATGGAAATACCCTTAGCAACCAACAATCCTGGGAACCTCCTGCCCCCGGTTACCAGCTTCCTCATCTAACTTGCCTGTTCTACTTCTGTAAAATTCAGCTTCAGCTAGGTTCCCCCTCCCCTACCTAAATCAAGATATAAAGGGAAATCAAGCCCTTTCCTCAGGGCCCAGAGGATTTTGAGCGTTAGTCATCTCTTGGTCACTGGCTAATAAAGCACTCTAAATTTGGAACTCAGAGAGTGGCGTGTTCCTTCTGACTTGCTAGGTTACAACACAGTAAAGTCAGGAGAATTTGGTAAATGTAAATCCAGTGAAAAGTGGGTTTCAAGAATGAGGGAGTGGAATACTATGCAGCCATAAAAAGCATAAAATCATGTCCTTGATAGCAACATGGATGCAGCTAAAGGTCATTATCTTGAGCCAATTAATGCAGGAACAGAAAACCAAACACCGCAGGCTCTCGCTTATAAGTGGAGAGATAAACATTGGATACTCATGGACATAAAGATGGCAACACCAGACAATGAGGACTACTAAAGGGGGAAGAAATGAGGGGACCCAGGGCTGAAAACTATTGGGTGCTATGCTTACTGTCTGGGTGATGGGGTCAATTGTACCCCAAACCTCAGCATCACACAATATACCCTGGTAACCAACCTGCACATATACCCTGTGAATATAAAATAAAAGATGAAATTATAAATAATAGAGAAAAAAATGAAACTGGGAAAAAAAGAATGAGAGGGGTCGTTTACATTTTTTAAAGTTATCTTTTAGAGATGCTCAAATATTTTACAGACAAAATGATATAATGTCTAGGATTTGCTGCCAAATAATAGAGAGTGTTTATTGCACATGTCCAGTCCCTGTTCCCACTGGGTGAGATTGGTATGGGTTGGCTGATAACATGGGTTCATTGTTTTTCTTTTTAACTTTTGAATTTTAATTATAGACCAAGATTCTCTCTTTTCTTTTTTTTTTTTTTTTGGTTATGGATATCTATGGTCCAGCACCATTGGTTGAAAAGATTATTCTTCCTTCCTTCCATGAATTGCTTTGTACTTTTATTTAAAAATCAGGCCAGGTGCGGTGGTTCACGCCTGTAATCCCAGCACTTTGGAAGGCTGAGGCTGGTGGATCACCTGAGGTCAGGAGTTCAAGACCAGCTTGGCTAACATGGTTAAACCCTGTATCTACTTTAAAAAAAAAATATATATATATATATATATATATATATATATATATATATATATATATATATATATACTAGCTGGGCATGGTGACGGTCATCTGCAATCTCAGCTACTTGGGAGGCAGAGTCAGGAGAATCACTTGAACCCAGGAGGCGGAGGTTGCAATGAGCTGAGATCGCATGCCATTGCACTCTAGCCTGGGCAACAAGAGCAAAACTCTATCTCAAATAAATAAGTACATAAATAAATAAAAAAAAGAAAATAAATTAGCTGGTTGTGGTGGCACATGCCTGTAGTCCCAGCTCCTGGGGAGGCTGAGGCAGGAGAATTGCTTGAGTCTGGAAAGTTGAGGCTGCAGTGAGCCATGATTACGCCACCGCACTCCAGCCCGGGCAACAAATGAGACCCTACCGCAGAGAAAGAAAAGAAAAAAGAAAACTCAGAGAACTCACTGCTGTGTTTTTTCCCCAGCCAGATTCCTTTCCCCTCAGCCTTTCAGAGTCTTCTTACGTTTATAATATATGATATTCAAGAGTCTTTAGCTTTACATAGTGGGAAGAATAGGAATAAATGTGTCTACTCCATTTTGTGTGGAACCAGAAGTTGTGGGAATCATTGTTTTTATTAAAACTTCTCTCCTGTGGGCAAAAAAAGATTGAGTTATATTCAAACAATCTCTTTAAGAGTTTGCCTCATTTTCTAAACTGCGAATTCTTAGAAGGGAAGAACTGTGTTTTATTTGTCTTTGTATTCCTAGTTCTTAACAGAGTAGGGACTCAATAAATTTTTTTTTAGTTGAATTGTAGTATGTTACTAAGTCTCTTACCCAAAGGAAGTTAGGAATTTGTGCGGATACAGACAGGTTACCACTAGAGGGCAGCAGCAACAACCCTTTACAAAGGGCTCTCAAGCCCACATCCCAGTCGAATTAAACTTGTCCCAAGAACTGCCTCTCCTTAGTTTTCATCAGCAAAGCAGAAGCCTGGGAACTGATGGTAGCTTAGCCTCCCAGGGAGACAAAGGACCCTGGGTGGCTGACAGGCTGCACCTGGAACAGAGGGGCCCAGTTCTTTTGGAGAAAGATGCTTCTCCCTCTTCCCTGTAAAGG